GTAAATTGTGGTCAATGTCATGAGACAAAGTGTATGTGAACTGCTGGATGGAAAGTGAATTTGCTCTGTAAATTTTCACCCAAATCACAATAAAATAAATAAAAAAAGCATCATTATCTCCTCCAGCTGGATCTTCAGACTGATGGTTAACACGCTCTGACGGAAGTTCCCAACCCTGGTTGGATTCATCATTCAGCTCGTGTTTTATTTTATTTTGTGAGCCTTCTTCATGGACACCATCTGGGCCATTCCCAGTAATATTCTGATCCTTACAGCAGTACAGGGATCCTTTAGTTTCTTGGGTTTTAATCGCTATTCTGACACATTAGCACATCTTGAAAGCAAGAGATTATACAGTTATTCTTCACTGTTGTTTCTTGGTAAAGCCGTAAGAAAAAGTCGACCAAAAAGGGAAGGACCAGTAAGGTGGGTGTAACTTGAGTGTCTTAACTTCTCTCTTAGGCAAATAAGAGTAATTAATTGCATGCTCTGTATCTTCAGTCCTATTGATGTTAATTTGAAATGCATAAGTACCATCTTCTTCCATAATATTACAAAAATTTTCATCCAGGGAGGCTGTGAAATTTATGTCTACATACATCAGTACTTATTGTCTTTTTCTGCAGGTACTTCTGACAAACAGACAATGCTGTGCAAAGATCTTCTATGTTTCCAATTCTGGGGACAACCCCTTTGTACTATACAGGTTTAGAAAGTGGATTCATTCTAACCAAACTTCCAAGGTACATTCTTTCATCACAGGCAATGAAAGTGTCAAGTAACAAAAAGGACCAAACCTTTTTGAAATCTTAGCACACTTAGGACAAATACATGACTTTTTTTTAAGGTTAGTTTCCATACTTGCTACGTACAAGTCCTGATTAGGACTTTTAAATGATGTTTTCTTCAAAACAGGCTGTCACCATCAGTGAGAAACTATTTGGAAAAGAAAGTGGTGGCAAATGGCACTTTTTTCTCTACTTAATAGGAACTCCTTTCTTATTAGTACTGCTCTCTTCCTTCATTGATCAATGTAATGTTAAAACCAGTCTGGATATCTAGATAATGCAATTGACATTACTAAATCCAATCAAACTTTTTCCTATCAAGTATTTCAAAATAACAACACCTTCCCTAAGTCATATACAGATACTTCTCTACTAGGCTGCAATTATGTTTTAGGATTCAAACTATAACCAGACCGAAAAAAACAAACTCACTGCCGTCAAGTCAGATCCCACTCATAGCGACCCCTCCTTGGGTTTCCGAGGCAGTATTACTACGAAAGTAGATTACCCAACCTTCCTTCCAAGGAGTGGCTGGTGGGTTTGAACTGCCAACCTTCTGGTTAGCAGTCACATGCCTTAGGCATTACACCACCAGAGCTCTATCTTCAGTTTTATCAATTGGCAATAACTGATTTAATAATCTTCTGGAATACTGCTTGTCTCTATACTACCTGACATGATATCAAAGCTTATCAGTAGTAGTTTTTTTTTTCCCTATCCCTTTGGCTTCACATTCAACCACAGTGTTGTAATCACCAGGGAGCCAATAAAAATGAGCTCTCCCGTAAACTAGTGAGAGCTGATCTGGGCTTAGCTCTTCATGGCTTCCTGAATTGCAGCAGATATCTCTGTAACCAAGCTCATGAGAGACCCTTGTTTCCTACATTACTCTTGCAAAGTTAAATCTGCACAAAATAGGGGTTCTGTGGTAAGGTACTGAAATACTTTGTTTGGCACCATTGCTTGTCAGGCAAGTAAGATACTAGGGCTGAAGAGAATACTCTGGGTACACAAACCCAAACTGAGGTCATCCTCATTCTGCTTCCTAATTAGTTACTTAAACACCCTTCCCCCACTAGTGTGTCTGTCTCACCTTTAATCAAAAAGTTATTCATTATGATGAAAGGTCAATATTCATTAATATTAAATCTATTTAAATTAAGAGTATGTAAAGGTATAGTGGGAAGCTCTGGTAGCATAGTGGCTAAGGCACTTGATTGCTAATCAGAAGGCTGGCAGTTCAAACCCACCAGCCACTCCTCGGAAGGAAGATGGAGCAATCTACTTCCATAGTGATACTGCCTTGGAAACCCAAGGAGGGGTCACTATGAATCGGGTCCAACTCAACGGCACATAACAACAACAAGAAAAAAGGTATAGTGAGCCTGAGATCCATGATATTTTGAAAGAGATTTTAGATTGTCTGCCTTCTTAAAATAATACTTTAAACTGCATTAAAAATTCAAATGTTAAGCACAGGTATGCAAAATAATATATCATCTCTTATTTTTCATTTAACAATTTAAATTCTGAAAGTCATGAAATACACTATTACAATCATTTATGTTGTAGAAGGTTTTGAAATTTTTATTCTCTGAAGCCATGAAGGCTTACAAATGCCTTTACTATATTAATGTAATTATGTTTTAGAAATAAAATTATAATTTAAAAACAAACAATAATTTACTATAGAGTCAAAATCAAGAACCACATATCTATCTCAGATAGAAATATCAAAATCCAGTAATAAATTTTTAAATAAATGAAGAATGGGAACTCTCTCAATACTAATTTTGTAACTTTTCAGTAACTCTAAACTTATTCCAAAATAAAGTTTATTTTTAAAAAAATCAAGATACAATGAAAAACCCAAAACCCATTATCATCTAATCAATTCTGAATCATAGTGACCCTACTGGATAGAACAGAACTGCCCCACAGGGTTTCCAAGGCTGTAATCTTTTTGGAAGCAGACTACCTCATCTTTCTCCTACTGAGTGGCTGGTGGGTTTGAAGTGCCAGTCTTTCAGTTAGCAGCCAAGCGCTTAAACACTGGGCCATCAGGGCTTCTTCAAGATAACATACTGACATAAGAAAATCAATCATGTTCTATTTAGGAATGCCTGATATCAAACAGGGAGTCCTGAGGTGGCACAAATGGTTAAGCACTTGACTATGAACCAAGAGGCTGGCAGTTCAAACCCACCCAGATGTGCCTCAGAAGAAAGGCCTGGTGATTTGCTTCTGAAAGATCACAGCCTTGGAAACCCTATGACGCAATTCTGCTTGGCATACATAGGGTCTCCGTGAGTTAAATTCTGATTGAGGGCAAGTAGTCTTTTTTTTTTTTTTCAACATCAGAGATAATGAAGATTATGAAAAGGTGATGATGATAAATTAACAATTATGCATATCTTCTATGTTAGCAAAAAAAATTGACTAAAAATAAAAGCAGATTAAATAAAAAAATAAAACTCAGTAACTTACTTTGGCATAAAAAGCAAAGAACTTCACTGATGCTGAACAATTTGAGACAACATAATAGTGAGACTGTGGGAAAGCCAGGGAGGGGCTGTGTGTGGCTACAGAACGCTCTCTGGTGGTTTCGGGCACAAAGCATCACATGCTAGTTCAGTAATCACTGATTTCAGGAAGTGTACACAGAAAGCCCACAAAATAATGTCCACGTACCATTTCAACTTCTGTATACATTCCAATAGTTGTATGAACATCACCATCTCGTGGCACCTGAAACCTCCTCAGAGCCCACCAACCTCTCAAATCTCCCTCTAGGAAGCTCTGTCAGAGGTTGCATCCTCACACCACAACCATGGCACTAGGGTCCAGAGACCCTCTGGGATTCCTAATTCACGTCTATTAGTTTTAAAGATCCAAAGAATACCTGAACTTTTTTTTTCCTGTTAATACTAGCCCTGCTCTCAAAGGCTACTACACTGCTTCCTTTGTTCCTGGTTAGTGTTGTTAACCACCACTGAGAGCTGGCCCTCAACTCATGGCAACTCCGTGTGAAACTAAATCCTATCTAGTACTGCGCCATCCCCGTGACTGGCTGTGGATCAGACAGTTCTACTCCATAGGGTGTTTATGAGCTGATTTTCAAAAGCCTTTCTTCCTTATCTTAGTCTGAAAACTGCTGAAATGTGCTCAGCAATATAAAACACATAAGCCCACAGTGACAGACAGGTTGTAGCTATACATGAGGTACACTGGCTGGAGCCCAAGCCTCCTGCGTGGAAGGCAAGAATTCTACCACTGAACCACCAGTGCTCTCTGCTCCTGGCTATTCCTGCTTAACTTTGAAGGGAGCATGGTGTTGCATGCTGGGAAAATGAAATGGTCCTTCAAAACAGTGGTTAACTTAACTACCTACTTCAGGTAACCAGGATCTAGCTCCCCTAATCCATTCTACAGGTCAGCACTGACATCACCTGGGACTTACCAGAGATACAAATTCTCAGGCCCCATCATAGATCTAGTGAGTCAGAAACTCAGTGTGCGGCCAAGTCACCTGTGTTTTCACAAGCCCACTAGGTGATTCTGCCGTGCACTGAAGTCTGAGAACCACTGCCACAGGCTGTGCACCTCTGAAAATTCCATGATCTGCAACCCCCAAACTAGAAACATCTGTTGCCCTGAGTCAATGGAATTCAAATGAGAAGAACTTTGGTGTTGTCCAGAAAGCTGATCTGGTGCTAAGGCAGTGCAGAGTCATAAATTTTTCCATTTGGGATTTCTTACCTGGAGGGATATGAAGCCTATACAGCAGTTTAATTTTTTCATTCATTTCTCCATTATACATAACATCTGTGGAAATTCAAAAAGAGAGAGGCTAAGAAGATGCAAATGGTTACAGTACACATCATGACACAAATTCACTGCACTCAAAATGCTTGCAACCCCTTACCCCTAGTCACACACCATGTTTGAACTTAGAAGTTGGTTGGTTAGCATGTGTGTTTGTTTGCATGCTTGCTTTTTCTAAAACCCGTTAAAGATTTTATTTAACTCATCAATGTTATCAATGTTGAAACTAGTGAGATGTTTCAACCAGTTCAAAGGAGACTCTAAAGAATAGACACATTTACAGATGAGGAATGAATGGTCAAATGGAGGGAAACTGGCCCTCTCTACAGTGGGGGAGGAAAATCAACTGCACCTTCACTATACAGAATGTACTTGTCTATAGACAAGAATCATTTTGCATCACTATCAGTTATCCGTAATATACAGGACTGTAAAACAGCTTCCACAGAAGCAAAATTAGGTAAGTTGGAATAGTGTGTTGTAAGTATTAGAAAGTTCCATTCAGTATGAATTTTTTTCCTCCATTATCATCATCATTATTATACATTTAATACATAAATGTGGGAATTCTATGAGACACTATAATATTGTTATGTAAAGAGAAATTATTCTTGTCTACTTTTGATACTTTTTAGTACTTCGATACCTTACTCTTTTTTAGCATATGTTTAAAGGTTACTACTACTGAAAAAAAAAAAAAAAAAAAAAAACTCACTGGATTGCAGTCAATTCTGACTTACAGAGTCCCCCATTGGATTTTTTTTTTTATTTTAATTTATTTATTTTTATTTGGGTGAAG